TCTCTCTCTCTCTCTCTCTCTCTCTCTCTCTCTCTCTCTCTCTCTCTCTCTCTCTCTCTCTCTCTCTCTCTCTCTCTCTCTCTCTCTCTCTCTCTCTCTCTCTCTCTCTCTCTCTCTCTCTCTCTCTCTCTATCATGCAGTCTAACGTGTGACGTTGTGTAATTCTAAACGTCATCGTGTTTTCCTCTCGACAAATATTTGTCGGAAGAGCTCGAGTGAAATTGCGATCATTCTTTGCCGTCTGCGTGCCATTAATATCTAATCAAACCGCCATGGCACACCGTAATCTGTCTCCCAGTCGTATAATCATGCGTTGACGGGTCACCGTACTAAAAAAATCACTAAACAATCAACGCGAAATCTAAAAAAAAAAATTCTACGAAATTTCTAGAAACTCCCGAAATCTTCGACACACTCCTCCGAAGCGCACTGACGGTGTTACGCACCGATGCAACTTTACTAACGAATACCTCGCCACGTGCAGATCTCAGGCCTGGCTACCCGGGAGCATGCCGCACGAACTGCTACTGCAGCGCCCGCCTCTACACGCCTCTGTGTGGCAGCGATGGTTTCACTTACCCCAGCAGATGCTGGATCCGGTGCGCAGTCAAGACCAACAGCAGTAAGTGTAATTGTCAGAAGATAGTAATAACTGTTGTTAGCGAGAGGTGTTATTAACTCTTGGTGTTGTGCAGATTAATGTGAGAATAAATACTGTTGTCGGATAAAACCGGAAATCCGTCCAACGCGTTGGCGGCATTGCCGTTCTTGTAACGGGCGACAGTTAAAAATAAAAATAAAATTGATATAATTCAGCATTATATATATATATATATATATATATATAGGGAGAGAGAGGGGGTGAGAGAGAAAGAGAGAGAGAGAGAGAGAGAGAGAGAGAGAGAGAGAGAGATATCTTCTTTTACAACTAGCGCGTATGATGCGTGTTGCTACTCCATCTGTATTCTACTTCCCATGGATGTATGCCGAAGTGTTTGCTGCATGAGTTAACGTTGTATCCGCATGCAGGTCTTGGAATGTGGACGCCATGCGGCCATGTCGATATCTACCCGAACGGTGGCTTAGAAATGCCCGGTTGTGATGATACTCTGTTAGAGTCGATCTGGATCGATGGTCTCGTGAACGGTAAGGAAGAATCTTCAAAGGCGTCTTTTTTTTAAATGGCGCCCTTGTACGTAAAGTTCATAAAAGCAGAGATGGTTACGTGTATGACATTACACGCACGCACACACTCGTGGGAAGAAAGTCAAATCACAATGTTCGAAAAGAATCGATGATTTTGTGTTTTCTTCATAAAATCTATGGACAACAACGAAATCATTAAAAAAAGGCGATTTAATTGTCGGCAGTTTGAACGCGGACTCGTTTCGATTCTAGGCGTACGAAACTTCGTCGCTTGCAATCATCACTTCGCAGTGTATATGGCGATAGACTCCATCAATTCCAAGCGACCCGACCTGGGCTATTTATGCGGCTCATGGGAAGAATTTGTCGACGGTATAGTATCAATGTTAGCTAGCGTAAGAAATGTGGCAAAGCGCAAGAGCAGCAGTAACAGTAAGACTAGTAATATCAGTAGAGGTAGAATATCCGAAGGAGTTGTGAGACCCCGTTGCGATATCATTGGCACTACATAACAAGTGTATTATGTAGGCTATATAGAAATGGTTGTTATATCATTAGTAAGTTCTACTATTTTCCTCACTTTCTATTTATTACTTATTACTTTTTATTAAATAGTTAGTTACTTATTAGTTGCCGTTGTCGCCAGTCGTAAATAAAGATTTGAAATAAAAGAGCATGATCACCATAATTTAATTGTATAGCATTTAACATTACATTTAATATTATCTTTTGATGATATTACCAATGAACAATCTAAATAACAAAGGCTCGCAAACGTGACCCGTCTCGTCCAATGGCCGGTGGCTGCTATTTATAACGCACCATTATTTAACAAACTACTATTATTTTTCTTTACGACGTACGCTCGATTCTTTAGATCGGGATTTAGAGTGATGCGTTTATCAATGAGCTAATAGCGGACAACGACAGATTCACTGTGCATGATGTTTAATGTGAACTGTTTGAATACAACGCAGGTAAATGTACGAGCTGTGGCGCGGATGGAGGTGGATGCGCTCACTACGGATTCAAGGCAGGTGACTACGCGCTGGGATCCACGCGCCCTGAACAGACCATGTTCTGGATGTACACGCGAGAGAATGCGCCGTACGGAAGTAGGTTCCCATCTTCTGCTGACTTAATTTTTCAATTTTCAATTTTCAGACATCGTTTGCGCTTCAATCGATTAAAAATGCCTTTGGTTGATCACGCTTCGATCAAGTAAAAAGCGCTGCTGTTGTTACCTGCTGTTATTCATTCATGTTACGTTTCCGCTATTCGAACAAATGGCGTTTTTTAAGTGTTTTCATATGTTTAGAATATCATCACGACTCGAAAATAGTAATGCACCAGAGAAGCTCCGACGAGAAGGGAACCATATACGTAAACATGATAGGTATGACGGGTCAGAGCGACTTTATCGAAGTCACATCAGGCAGGTGAGAGACAAGTAGAATCAAAAATGTTTTGCATATATATATATATGTGTGTGTGTGTGTGTGTGTGTGTGTGTGTGTGTGTGTGTGTGTGTGTGCGCGTGCGTGCGTGCGTGCGTGCGTGCGTGCGTGCGTGCGTGCGTGCGTGCGTGTGTGTGTACGTGTGTGTGTAGATATAGGCTTTGCCCAATAAAAAAACGATTTTAATACGAAATTTTACCGTATTAACATGCGAATATACGAAACCTCCCCCACCGTGAATAACAGAGTATACTCTCGACGATTTGTCAGTGATTGCGTGAGAATGAAAGTTTCCTTTGTAACACGCGTGTGTGTTTTCGTTAGTGTGGATTTGAACTCTGGTGAAACTTACGAGCGCATGACAGCAGCGGAGCATGCTCTGGGTGACATCTTGCGCGTGGAATTCAAGTGGATCTACGACTACGATTGGTGAGCCAAATCAATTAATTAAAGTTACATTGTTCGTATGCTTAACCGGTATTATAAAACTTATATATATATATATATTAATAATAAAGTAAGTGTTGTATGATTTATATACTCGATTTTTGTCGTTTTTTCTACAAGGTACTTTCCGTGGGATTGGCCTATCTTCGGAGATCCAACGATTGAACTTGAACGACTTCGGATTCTAGCGTTGGAAACGCAAATATTGTGAGTGGTTACGGGGCCTTCTAGTTAATAGAGAGCACAATAGCTAGCTAGCTAGCTAAACAGAATCAAGTTGAGTGCATGCGTTCTCATAAGAGCTGTAATAAAATGACGTGCGTGTACATGTCGTATTCTGACGCAACCGCAACATATATGTTTGTTGAGCCAGAGCGTGGTGCATCCTATTGTTCCTCCGTGTTTACCTAAGATATATATATAGTATATATATATATATATTATAATATATAGTAATATATATATATAATTGTATACGTGGGCTCATCGATCTTATTCTGTGGCAACGTGCTCATACACATAATATGTGATCATGCTTTTTTGGCAACAGCACAAGGTTCTGTTCACAGCGAGGCATTTGAAGGCCGAGACAACGTACATATTTTTAGCTGCTAACCGGATGTCGTGCTGCACCGCTTGTCTCTGACGACGTAGAACTCGCTATACCGGACACGCCATAATGATGAGACAAGCAATCTGAAATAACGGATGGATTTTTGTAATAATTATACTTATTATTTTGTAACGCCTTACAAAATTGTAATAACAATGATATATAAACAATAATAACATAATAATAATAATAATAATAATAATATAATCCAATCTGTTAGTATCATATAAATTAACCGCCGTTGCGTAATTGTTTTTAAATGTCATTGAGTATCCGTGATGAAAATAAATATGTCTACTGCCTACATCGTCTTTTAGACATTTGTGTTGTTTGTAATTACTATCTTTAAAGCGAACTGTCACTATGGCCTACTTTTCCATATTAGAACCACTATGAACATTAACGGCGAAACTAATACACAGCTGTTTTTTCACTGTTATAGGGCTGTTTAAAACTAACAGTCTTGAATTCATCTCCGCGCATATCATCGATAGTTGCACAAGACTTTCACTCGTCGCATGCACACACGAACGTGAACATTGCCTCTATAGCGGCCCTCTCTTAATCACCGCACGTCCTTAATCGCAAAAGACTTTTGAATCGCCGGCCATAGTTGTTTGATTACGCCCAAATAGATTAAGATTAAATCGACGATTATATCCGTCGGCAAACATCGAACACAACAGACACGCAGCCGACTTGTGGCAGGACGGGGCATTAATACTCGGACTGAATTTATTATGGAATTGGAAGATTAGAGCACGTTTGAAAAAGATAGGCGGTCTGACCCATCACGACCATACAGCGAGAATTGTAGTGAGGTGTATTGCCGACCGGCCGACAGCTATGCATATCTCGAATTCTTCGCATTTTTTTCTTCTCTATTATTTCGCTGCTTCACCCGTGGTTGGTATAAGGGAAGTATTCGACACCGCCAGACACGGGACCAGGCTAGTGTCTTCGTGAGTCTACAGAATTGACGTAAAGTGTCATTAATCATCGCGCGATTAGAACGTAAGGTGCAGCAAAGGAGGCAAAGGCGCGTTGACGTAGTGATGAGTCGCACTCGCCGACCGCGCGCACACGTACATACACGGCTGCTTACGTCGACGTACGTGCGCCAAGGCTGCCGACTTCAACAGCGGCGTCGCCCGCGCCGTACGTTCCGTTTCCGTTTCCACTCGTGTCCTCTCCCGGCAACGCCGTCATCCACCAGAATATCGGATAACGCACCGATTATCGGAGCCTTGCGAAATCGGAATTACATCGATCCGCGGTAACGCTCGTCCGTCCGTCGCCGGGTGAATTTCGACCGATTCGTGCTTTTAATTTCGAGAGCAGGTTCTCCTCGTCGCGTAGTGACGACCACGTGGGTGCAGGAAGTTCGGCTGGGCTCTGTGTCAGATACGCAGCGATGGGTACGTCGTGCAATGCACCAGCAGCCCCGTGGGTGTCGGCGACGCGGTGCTAACCGCAGGCGCTGCATCCACGGATAGCGCCACGACGACAAAATAAGGGCGCGCAAAACCGCCACGACTCGCTCGCAGTATTAGAAATTCCGTGCGAATTATACAGGAGTGGTTTTCAAGTAACTGAAATTAACTGCGTGAAAGTAGATATACGATCGATTGTCTAGTGTATACATGCCCTACTCGGCTACCTGTGCGTAATACGTGCGTGTATATAAGAATGATGCGGTGTGTGTATGATTTCCGAATCGTGACAGTGGTGTTTCTTAGCATTGAGGATATTATATATATATATATATATATATATATATATATATATGATATATAGTTATTATATATATATAATATTATTATATATAGTTATTATATATATATATGTGACGTTTGAGCCAGTCCAGGCCTCAAGTGCCACAGGTTCGATCGTGGATTCCACCCGCAGACGCGAGCAGATACCGAAGACAACAATACCAAGTTGAGTGTTCAAACCGGGAACCGCCGTGCTTTTATTGGCCCGACCGACACAGGCCGGTGGCCATAGAATACTACACAAACTTGGGCTGAATGCCCCGAAACAGAAACGTAATCACACAGTAAAACAAGAGATGCGACTCGAAAACTCAGCATGCCTGCGTGCAAGAGACGGTCAAGCGTCAGTAAGCACGGGCAGAGGGTGAGTCCAGGAGTGAAAAGCGTATCGTTTATCTTACCACTCGCTGATCCTCGCGTTGTGTATCTCGGAGGCACCTGGAGAGAAGCACCAGTGCCCACACCAGTGCTCTCCCACCAGTGTCCCTCTACTTGCGAGAAACAGCAGCTTATATATACTAATAGTGGTCACGTGGTAATGCCACGTAATCATCAACAAGATACAGGGATTCACGTGCCGCGTGACGTTAGGTGAAACCTTACATCCAAATCCCGTTGGGACGACATCACGTGATCTTGGTGACGCATTGACCGCTACATTACCCCCTTCCTTTTTCCGCAGTCTTGCCGCCTCGGCAAGGCTCGTACGAGGGTTCACAACAAAAGCGGTCTGCCAATATATGTCAAACCCGCTGACTTCATACACAATTCAAATACAAAAAAACAATACTGAAAACGCATCGCAGTGAGCCCGGACGGCTTGCAACAACGGCGCGGTACTCACCCGTCGTGAACAAACACCGTACGCCAACCCCCAGCCCGCGTGACAAAACCTACAACAATGCATCTACGTCAAACTAGACGCCACTTGTAACAACAAAACACCCATAAGCACGGGCAAACAAATTTTCCTTTACATTATTCATTTTAATTCTATTACATTCATTTATATCAATTGCACCGGCACAATACACGTGTAGGAGCAGCGCGAAGAACCCATGACGCACAGCATAGGTCACCGTATTATATTCCCAAATAACTATTACACTATACACAAAATATATAAATTTTTAAACCGCCCCGTGGCCGAGTCCCGGTAGGCGTCGCCGGAAAAACCGTACCGAAAAGATTACGGGTTCAAACGCCGGTAGGACAGGATACATTTTACCTGTTCCCTACCACGTGAAACTCACTATGGAGATACAATGCTAGCGGCATATATCAACCTTCAAATAGTAGCAATTGCGCTTCGCACGGGCGAATGGATAGGCGCTTCGGCGTGGTCCTTGGTAGTGAGCGCTGCGGCCAGTGTTCAACACTGGGCCGGGGCGTACCGCAGAAACTTTTATAAAAAATAGCTGCAAAAATGCCGCTACTAGATGGAGGCGCGCACCTACATCCTGTCCGCTC